AATTATTAACTATTGATTGTTAAAAGTTGACTACTTTCTATACATGTTCTCCTACCTTCCCAGTACTTGAGTGCTTTCAGGATAACAGGATATTCTCTTTGCTTTGGGGTGTGGTAGGGGGTGGGAATGTTTGTTGAGGTCATTCCATGTTATCTGTTTAGGATCATTTTTAGACATTTAATTTGCAGTTGCTCTTGCATTAGTTATCTTTTTATGAAGCCATTCTTTGAAGCTGTGGTTATGTAATTGAACACAAGAGGAGACTTCTCATTGATTTGCCATCATTTTAGATGAGAGGACTTAGCTCCTGGGTTACCCTGTATCTGGGAATAACCTGTGGTACCTAATTCTTACCACATCAGGTAGTATGTGATTAAATAGACTCCTGACTTTCCATTTTTAGGGCTTTAAAAAGTAATCTGGGACAAGAGGAAAGAGTCATATTATGGGGAAAAGCTACATTATTGGGATGTATATTTATGTTTTTATTAGAGAAATTATATTTGAAAGAATTTCATCATGTAGTTATATATCATTCTTGTCTCCTTTTCTCTTCCAGGATTATGTGCTGTTTATATCTGTGAAAAATCATTGATCTAAAGAGTAAAACATCCAGGTTTAGTTGTAGAAGTCTTAGGACTTTCAGTTTAAATATTTATAGTGGGTATGTGGTTTTTTATTACTTGTTGGATCAATCAGATTTGCTGCATAGTTGAATTGTCCATGATTGAAAAATGCCTGCAGTTAGTAAAATTATTTTTTCCCCTTCATGGAGTAACCTTGAAATTTTAATTAATTCCATCATGATGGAAATCTGTTTCACCAGAGGTTTGTCTGAATTGAATTTCAAGGGGGATGTAGCACCTTCTCCATTGAGAGAAGTGTTGTGGATTATTTTGACACTATACAAAGCCTTTGGGGGTGGGAACGGTGGTAAACATTATATAACACAAAAGTTATTCTAGTCTGTTTTCTTGTATTTTAAACCATAAGTGCTTTAGTGGAGACCCTCTACTGTATTCTGCCCTAGGACATATGGAGGTGTGCCCATACTTCTGTGTTAACATCGGTTCCCATGTAATTATAGGAACCTGTTTGGCTTCTGCTGGTCGTTAGTCTTCTGGAGTGGCATGTGAATACTCTTAGGTAGCTTTTGGCTCTTCTCCCATGTTGGGGTTCTTTTGCCTAGAAGCTGGATGGCATTATGCTACTATGGTAATGAGCTCCTAGCTCCCCATGAGGTACTACTTTTTAGGAGCAAAGTTGAAGGACAGGTGTACAGGCAGGCAGATTACCATCAGGCGACTTTTAACTCTGGAAAGCTTCCAGTTAGTACGTAGGTCCCTCACTGTGCTTAAGCCAAGAGATCAAGTGCAGTCTGGGATTAATGAAATAACTGATTGAACTTGTGGTTTCCTTTAGGTATGAAGCTGTTTGTTCATTTAGACTTCTTTGGTATTACATGCATATTAACTGGAGAAGGATACTACTTTTGGATTTGGAGGATGACCTATATAAGCCCTCAGATTTCATTTCCTGCCACTCTTCTCACTGTATTCTAGCTACCCTGGCCTTCTACCTAGTTCTCTAACACATCACGCTCATTCCCATCTTGGTTGCTTTTCACTTGCTGCTTGTTAATTCTTTTTGGAGTGCTTTTTGGAGTGGTTGTAGGGCTTGCTCTGCTCATGGAGACACTTCTTTGATGAGCCAGCACCTCACCCCTGGCCTCCTCTCCCTGCAATTCTATCTAAAAGAACACTACACTTCACCCTACCACTATACTCTTCCATTGTGATTCTCTGTTTTTTCTTAATTTTACTTTTTGGTAACTGAGATTATGTTTGTTTCTTGTTTCTCTCTTCCACTAGAATTATAGAAACTTGTCTTGTTCAGATTCTGAAACAGGGCTTATTAACCCCAGCATTATTGACATTTTAGCCTGGATAATTCTTTGTTTTGGGGGGCCGTCCTATGTGGTATAGAATGTTTAGCAGCATCCTTGTTTTCTATCTACTAGATGCCAGTAGCATCCCCCATTGGTGACAATCAAAAATGTCTGTGGACATTGCTAAATGTCTCCTGGGGGACAGAGTCACCCCAGCTGAGAACTATTGTTATAGAACAACGCTTTGGCATCTGATGGGTGCTCAATAAATATTTATTGCATGATAGGTGAATTCATGAATGAATGAATTCAGCAAATTAACAAATTTTAGAACACTGAACTATGTGCATAGCCTCATGTTTCTCTAGATTCCCATTCGTCTGTCTTTTCTGTTTCTGGCACATTGATCCATCCTTTGCTGCTTTTTTCTTCCACTCAGACTTGCTTGTTCTTTTAGACGGTGCTACTCTTTTTCTAAAAAATATATTTTTATTGATTTCAGAGAGAGGAAGGGACTAGGGGGAGAGAGAGAGAAACATCAATGATGAGAGAGTCATTGATGAGCTGCCTCCTGCACACCCCTTGCTGGGATCGACCCAAAAACCCGGGTATGTGCCCTGACTGGGAATTGAACCTGAATCATAGGTTGATGCTCAACCGCTGAGCCATGCTGGCCAAGACAGTGCTACTCTTAAATTTACTTTTGTTCAGTTCAACAAGTGACTATTGAGCATCTACCCTGTGCTGTAAAATAATAGAACAGAACTATAGAAAGATATGGTGCTGTCTGTGCTTAAGAGCTCATTGGGTAAAATGGACAAAGATACAGGAAATCTTCCTCTAAAGTTTGACAGTTAGGGATAATGTCTGACTGGTACTAATGGACCACTATAGTGTTATTTGAGTCAGTAGTTGTTAAGTGCTCATCAGAATGGGGTGAAATTGTTGTTGAATTTGGAATCCAGTTTTAATAAAAACCTACCCATTCACTTTTTACTTATTTTCATTTGTTACAATTACCCTTGGTTTCTTGCTATTAAATGTTTGTCTGAAACCTGGTTGAGAAATACACAAAGTGGGCTTGCTCATTTTGAAGCTGATGTGTCTGTTTCTTCAGTTGGTTATTTTATTGAATGGTTATAAAGAGCTGATTCATCAATGGGCTTTTAATGTCCATGGTTGGAAACGTCTTGCCACACCACCACCTGCCTGGGTTACTGAAGCCACATTAGGCAAGGCTGTAGTTCTTTCTGGCTGGGATTAAAATACATCAAACAAAACCCCCATTCTCTATTATGTGACTTTCTTTGTCCTAGAGCAACTGATTTTCTGTCAAACATTTATGTTCCATCTCTGATACCGTTAGAAAGATTTCTTCTGATTTGAACTGCGGGATCAGAAGAATTCCACTGGAGGGAATGTCTGGAATCTTTTCCTGAAGACACAACTGTCTTCTAGAGACAGTAGGAGAGCTATTGGTTCAAAGAGTATCTTGAAATGTCTCTTATTTATTTCTCTGTTTCTTTATATTGGGAAGAGGTTTACTAGGATATTAAAGAATTGAACATGTATTTAAAAAAGGAGAGAATTTTCTTGTTGACATCTGAAATTTCTATTCATATAACTTATTCTTGTAAGGTGGAACTGAGGCTCTTAATACTTTGCTGAAGGGAGGCAGCCTACTTTTTAAGGTCAGTTTTTCCCCCCTGTAGGATTTTGTTGAGTACTTTGATACAAAAACTGTAATTTACTCTGTAGTCAAAGCCAAGATTTAAGGAAAGTGCTGTTACCTGAGATCTGTTAGTACTAAAGTAGATGACATTAAGATTTAGATATTTTTGGAATTTTTTTTTTCTTTTTAAAAAACTTGCAATTGAAACCTGAGTTTTTTAACAGCAGAATATCATTTGAATAAAGGCCCCAAATTGTTGTGGTAACCAGGATACATCTTAGATTATTTTAAACATATGAAAAAAGAAACAGCTAAATTGGATTCTTTATTTCTCAAATGCAAAAGGCAATAGTCAGTGTCTTTGTACTCAAAAGTCTCCTGCTCTTAAAATATAGGAATATTTGAATGAACTATTAGGAAACTGAACAGAAAAATAGTTTTGGTCTTTTGAAGAATAGAAGAAAGTACTTTTTAAAAGTGCATTGCTTGGTTTTATGAAGACACCCCTGAATTCTGTGATAAATTTGACATGAGGAATATTTGAAATAATGCTCTCTGATCTTTATTTAAAAGAAATTGACTCCTGAGGATATGAAAAGCTTATTATATCATGGTTTTTAAGATGGAAGGGCTTAAAAGAAGGGAATGAGAATTGCTGTGTTGCTGAACTAGAGGCAGTCTCAAAATATTTTTGAAAATCAAGGACTCTGAAGAGCACAGATGATGAGGTTTGTTGTTCTAATTTAATAGATCAGAAAGGAAAGACTTAAAATTCTGTAGAGAACTCTCCTTAAGTTTAATTTCGATTTAAGCTCAGGAAAAGGCAAATCTATGGAGAGAATAGAAAGATCAGTGGTTGCCAGGGGTTGGGGGAAGGTGGGGTGAGTAGACAGCACAGATTATTTTTAGGGCAGTGAAACTACTCTGTATGATACAGCAGTGGTAGGTAGCTGTCATTATACATTTGTCCAACCCATAGAATGTGAAACACCAAGAGTGAACCCTAATGTAAACTATGTACTTTGGGTAATAATGAGGTGTCAGTGTAGATTCCATTGTAACAAATGTACCACTGCAGGGTGTAGATAGTTGGGGAGGCTGTGTGTGTGTGTTTGGGGCAGTGGGGGAAATGGGTATATGAGTGCCGTCTGTACTTTCTGTTCAGTTTTGCTCTGCATCTAAAAGAAAAGTAAAGTTTATTAAAAAAAATATCAAAACAAAAATAGTAATATGCAACAGAGACTATATGTGACTTACAAAGCCTAAAATACTTATTATCTGGCCTTTTATAGAAAACGTTTACTAAACCCTGGACTACATCACAGTGGAACTAGGAAGTGAGGTGCTTTGTTTCTCTGGTGTCCTGCCCAGTTCCCTAGTACTCCTGGTACTCAGTGTTTCTAATGGCAAAGTTCTCATGAATTTCTATTTCATTTGCAGGTATATGAGTGACCTAAAGCTGCAAATTAAGACGGAGAGAGAGCAGTGCCAACTGCGAGCAGGGCAAGGATGCCAATTCCTCCTCCCCCTCCACCCCCTCCTGGTCCTCCTCCACCTCCCACTTTTAATCAGGTGGGTAATCCTTCCACTCGGCTATCTCAAAACTTACTGGATACTTAAGGCTTCCCAGTATATTGTTCTCAGAGAATTGTGTGCAGGAAGATAGAGAATAAACAAGTGAAATCGGCCCTTATCAGCCAGTTCTGATTCCTGAGAGGTCCTCTTAGGACCATAATCACTTCCTGTTTTCTTGTCCTGGTTCAGTCTGAGTGGAGATTTGGACAGGTCGCATCAGAGTAGGAACTGGTGTTTCCCCCTAAAACTGTTTGTGCTATAAAGTTCAGTGCATCATTTCTCTGGCACCTTTGAGAAAAGGGATGGCAATTTCTGGTGGTTGTGTCTTGCTACCACTTCATCTTCTCATCTTCTTCAAATCAGTTCATTTTAAAACCAAGTTCATCAAGTCTACCACACCACCAAGAAAGAAAGGAGTTTATGGAATGTATTAGTAAGAAGACTTAAAGGTTCGATAATGGAATTTTAAAAAACCGTGTGGCTTCTGAACCAAGGAGGCAGCCACTTTTACTATATCTGGATGGTGTTACACGAGAAAAAAGCAACCTGGGTGCTTTATCTCATTTCTGTAAATTTAGAAGCAAAGTAAGTTTAGAGAATGAATATCCCAGAGGTATGTTGTGTGTGTGTTAGGTGTTTAACAGATGAGAAATTGTGCTATAAAGTGGAAAAGTGACTTGCCTAGCTAATTTATTTCTGAACTAGAACTAGAGTTCAGGTCTACCAACTTGTTTTTCCCCCATAACTTCTGGTTTTCAGACATTTTGTTTGAGGATATGTTTGAGGATGAAATTTTATGTAGAACCCCAATAAATAAAGATAAAAACAGTGTTGCTCTGGTTATAGTGGGGTTCAAGGACTCAAAGTATATCCTTGGATCTCTGTAACCTCTCGGATTACTGCCCTGCATCATGCTATTTTAGTCATTTACTCAATAGTCTTTTGTTGAGACTTACTCTGTATCAGGGACTTGGCTAGGCATACAGTTTAGAAAATCCAGATAATTTTACTCTGTACTTACATATTGCTTGACTCTTTTCCAATAAGAATTTATATATATAATTGAAAGAGAAGGGGGAAATATGCAGATGAGCAAAAAAAGGGCAAATAAAAATCATCTGTAATGCCATCACCCAATAATGAGATAGTTTCTGCCTTCAGTAATGGCTCTCAGCGTAATGGGGGAGACAGACAAGTTAACAGGCAAAGTCCATGCTAGGTGCAGATAAATGGGGCCACAAAGAAGAGTTCCTCACGTAGTGGTTGGAGGCAGAGGAGGCAGTCAAGAGTAGGCTTCTGGTGGGGAGGTGATACTTAAGCTGAGTCTTACAGGATGAGTAGGGTTTAGCCAGAAAGAGAAAAGGTAGGGAGGACACTTGAATTGAGGAAGCAGAATGTAGAAGGGTGCTGACTTGTGAGAAAGCACACAGAGGGTTAGATTATTGTTTGAGAGAGGATTTGGTAGGAGGTGAAGCTGGAGGTATAGGCTGAGGGTTTAGATTTTTCTTCTGATGATGATGGGTAGTTGTTGAAGTATTTTCAGGAACAGGAGTAACCTGATTGGGTTTGTATTAGAAAGATCACTCTTAATAGTTTGGACATTGGGTTAGGAGTTGAGACTGGCAACAAAGAGGTCAAGACTGGAGACTGAAGCCTGTAGGAACTGAAAATTGAGGGCCTGGATTAAAGCAATAAGGATGGAGAGTGGAGATGAGAGACACTGAGAAAGTAAAATCTTGCCCCTGGCTGGTGTGGCTCAGTGGTTAGAGTGTCAGCCCACAAACCAAGGGGTCAAGGGTTTGATAATTCCAGAAAAAGGACACGTACCTGGGTTGCAGGTTCGATCCCCGGCCCTGGTCGGGGTGCATGCGGGAGGCAACCAATCGATGAGGCACGTTGATGTTTTTCTCTCTCCCCCTCTCTCCCTCCTTACTCATTAATACATCGTGAATGGCTTGTCATGCCATTAAGTGGTTAGTGATATTAGAAATTTTTTTACTGTACTAAAAATTGGAAAAGAATTAGAAAATACCAATAAATGTAGAAAATGTTAAAGCATCTGTAATTAACTTTTGTTAACATTTTGTTTTATATATTTATTGTAGGAAAACTAGAAAATATGGATAAACATAAATAATTATTACCGAAAGTTAACTTTTGCTAGTATCAGTGTGTATCCTTCCAGAAATTTACTGTGTGTGTACATTTTTCTTCCAAATGTAATTTAGCTACTGTTTATTGAGCTTTTATTATACATCAGACACTGCTAAGCTCTTAAAAAATGTTATCATTTGATTCTCAAAACTACCCTGTGAGATAGGTTCTTAGGTTATTCCTATAGAAGAGAAAACTGGGATCATGCTGTATGTATTGTTTTATAATATTTTTTACTTGATTGTGGCAAACATTTACTACTATGAAAAGATATTTACTTATACTTCATTAAGAGCTTAACTTGCATCCCACTGTATGGTTATCATTGTTCTTTTTGGTTGAACGTCTAGATTATTTTCAGCTTTGTGCTATTATTAACTATTTTTTGCTATATTGTTAACATCTTTATGCACTTACTCAATTATTTTCTTAATGTCAGTTCCGAGAAGTAGAATTCTTGTGCTAGACTTTTAAAAGCTGTTTTAACACATAAATTACTTTCTAGAAAGATCATCCCAATTTGTCTTACTGCAGGTAGTACAAAAGAATACCTGTTTTCCTGAATCCTTATGACCACCATATGGCGGTTATTTATTCTTCACATTTTTGAACATCTGCATGTGCCAGGCACTGTACATCATGGCTCACTGTGGTTCCTGCCTTCATGAAGCTAGCATTCTCTTTAGTTATAATTTTAACCTTCACCAATGTCATAGGTAAATAATACTGTATTTTACCATGTATTTCTTTTATTATAGTTGATTTTTTCCCCCATATTTGCTGGCTCTTTGATTTCTTTTACATAGTGTTGTTCATATTCTTTGTTTATTATCCTGTTGATTCCTAGGTCATCTTTATATGTTAATGCTCTATAGATTTAGGACACTGCCTTTGCGTCTTATATGTTACATTTGTCGCAGATGATTTTTCCTTCCAGTATATCATGTTTATTTACTTATAGTCCTAATAAGTAATTGGTACTAAGCAAATCTGTTGATCTTTTCTTGTATTTCTTAACAATTTTTCTAATGTACTTATGTAGCTTTTTACACTTAAATATTATAATTCAGCTAGAAAATGTTTGAGAGTAAGTTGTGAGGTAGGTATGTATTTAACTTTATTTTTTCTCCCCAAAATTACCAGTTGTTATTAACACTTTATATTTAATAACCTACTCTTTCTGATGAAATACACTTTTATTATTTCTTATATAGATCTGGGCCTGCTTATGGACTTTGTTTTGTTCCGTTTATCTAGCTGTCTATCCCTGTGCTCCTATTGTAGTTGGTCTTGGCATATTTCAGGATTTAAATAAGATAATGAAAGTAATGTGCTTAGCACAATACCTAAGGCATAGTAGCAGGGGCTCAATAGATGTTTGCCTTGATGATGCTGATATATGTAAAGCATCTAACACAAGCCTCGTGCATAGATACTCGGTAAGTCTTAGTTCAGGCCTCGAGCAGAAGCATCTGAATAGGATGCACAGCAGGAGAAAAGGACTGGGAAGAAGGGTGATGCTCATTACCATTATGTTATATGTGGCACAGACATCTGATTGGGTTAGACAGGCGGCTCATGGAACCGGGTTTGGCTTAAGGCATTTATCCCAAACTTTTGATGAAGGGGACTATTTAGGGTGAACTTACGTATTCCTTTTCCTCTAGGGAAACACAGAGCAGCCCAAGCTGAGTAGAGATGAGCAGCGGGGTCGAGGCGCCCTCTTACAGGACATCTGCAAAGGGACCAAGCTGAAGAAGGTGACCAACATTAATGATCGGAGTGCTCCTGTTCTCGAGAGTGAGTGTAAGCCTAGGATTGATTTGGAGACTTGGCTGAGCTGTCATTTTTATTGTTGGGTCTTGAGTGGGTGAGTTTTGTCCTGGGATGTTCTTTGGCTGTCTTCCTATCTATTTATTTGAATACCTAGAAACTTCTTTTTGACCTTTGGGAAGCATTCTCAGGGTTAAGACTTCCATCTCCTGTCACTAGTGCTTGTTATGCTTGTTAGGGCATATCGTTGCCTATTCTCTGAGGAGACAATCACAGTCCTAAAAACCACTCAGCTGAAGCCAATGATGATTTTATAATTGCTGCAAATGTCCATTCTGAAAGGCCTCTGGAGAGTTTGTTCACACCTGGGTCCCTGGTCATTAGCCCTCTTACCATCCTGAGCTATGAGAGTAGAGCCCAGAGAACTCTTGAATATGTCTTTACCCAGGTTATCCTTCTGGCCCAAATAAGGGAAGACTCGCTCCTTGTTCCTTTTGGTGCTTTTCTTTCATAACAGCGCAGAGTTTCATCCCTACATGAAACTGTGGAGCAGAGAGGCTTCACTTTTTTTTTTTTTTTTAAATGGAAAGGCAAAAACAAGATTGGTTTGTTTGCAAATTAGAACCCAAATAGAGGAGTTGTTTCTCCTCAGGATTAACTTGGTCATTAGCTTGGAGCATATGAAATGAAAGCTCTAATGGTATGCTTTGCAGAACCCAAAGGAAGCAGTGGTGGTTATGGCTCTGGAGCAGGTGCCATGCAGCCCAAGGGAGGTCTCTTCCAAGGAGGAGTGCCGAAGCTTCGACCTGTGGGAGCCAAGGATGTTTCAGGTATCTGATAAGTACTTTCTTAGAATATTTCCCAAGTGTATTAATTCTGACTGGTCCTAAGTGGTCCATCTGGGGTTGAAGAGGGTGGTAGAGGTGGGAGGAAGGAGTGGGAGCAGGGGTGGAGTTATAGAGCAGATTAAAGCCAAGGCATTACATAAAAATGTATTCAACTTATATCAGCAGTATTTGTTAATGGGCAATGAGCCAGATTAAAACCCAGTACTGTACAAATACTTTCCCTGCTGCTGTGCAGGGAAATGAGGCTGAGTACATTAGAGATACTGACCAACATATCTCTAGCTCTGTTAACCCAGTGCTTTCTGGTCTGTTTGTAGAGAACGTAGCTGGTAAGCCAGCCCTGCATGTCCCCAGTTCTCGAGCTGCTGCCCCAAGGCCTCCAGTGTCTACAGCCTGTGGGCGCCCTCAAGATGATACAGACAGTGGCCGAGCCTCACTCCCAGAACTGCCTCGGATGCAGAGACCTTCATTACCGGACCTCTCTCGGCCTAATACCACCAGCAGTACAGGCATGAAGCACAGTTCCTCTGCCCCTCCTCCACCACCTCCAGGGCGTCGGGCTAATGCACCCCCTGCACCTCTGCCTGTGCACAGCAACAAAGCCCCAGCCTACAACAGAGAGAAACCCTTGCCGCCCACACCTGGACAAAGGCTTCACCCTGGTCGAGAGGGACCTCCTGCTCCACCCCCAGTCAAACCACCTCCTTCCCCTGTGAATATCAGAACGGGACCAAGTGGCCAGTCTCTGGCTCCTCCTCCTCCGCCTTACCGCCAGCCTCCAGGAGTCCCCAATGGACCCTCCAGTCCCACTAATGAGTCAGCCCCTGAGCTGCCACAGAGACACAATTCTTTGCATAGGAAGACACCAGGGCCTGTCAGAGGCCTAGCACCTCCTCCACCCACTTCAGCCTCTCCTTCTTTACAGAGTAATAGGCCACCTCCCCCAGCCCGAGATCCTCCCAGTCGGGGAGCAGGTAAGTAAGTGCCTGCAAGCACCTTTTCCTATCACACTGAGAGCTGAGCTTATCTTTTCACTCCTTTCCTCAAAGCTCTCCTTTAGTGATTGAAGATAAGAACTCACTCATTCAACAAGTTTAGTGAATGCCTTTTTGTATGTCAGACTCTATTGTTAGGGAAACAGCAATAAATAGAAAATGTAAGAGCCTGTCCTTTTGTCCATTAACCATCACCAACTCTGAGGTCTGGTAGAGGCCTCAGCCAGCTTTCTCAGAGCAGCAGTTCTTAAGAGTGATACACTAAAAAAGAAAAATTGAGATATTTAGTCAGAGATCTTTTGAGTATTGGCTCTATTTGTTGTGTGACATTGGGCAGATCACTCTGATTCTCTGACTTTGTTTCCTCATCTGTTAAGTGGTGTTCACAGTACTTTCCTAAGTGGTTGTAAACAAAAAGTTATGTATGAAGTGCTTTATAAACTGTTGTATGCTGATGAGTGTTAGAGGTTTTATGCAAAGGACTTCCAGCTAGTTTATGGATTTATCTCTTAACTTATATGATAATGTATTTTGTTTCTATATGAATTACTTACATTTGAAGGAGTATGGAGTGTTTTGCCTTCCCAGGATGCTCGAAAGTCTCACATTATTGGTCCATAGAGTTTGTGTCCCGAATTTTTTCCTTTGCAGAGTAAAACACTATTTTTAAGGGAATTTTTTTCTTTTTAAAAGAATTGGTCCCACTATGCTTTCCTCAAAATTAGGTTTATCTTGGATTACAAAAGGCAGTCTCCCACCCAAAGCTTTCTTTTACAAACTGCTTGTTTCTTAGGGTCCTTGGGTGTTCCAACTCTGTCACTTGAAAGAGTCTTAAAACTGGATGTGACAAAGAGCTCAGAAACTTACTGGAGATGGCAGAACCTGGTTAGGATGACTGTTCCTGAGGGAGGGAGCTGAAGGGAGCCAGACGGGTTGCTCTTGGTCCTGCTCTATTTTGTCAGTCCAGGTTGGTTCTAATCACTGCCGTTTGCTCAGTGCCAGCTGGTGTCCTTTTGAGCCTAGCTCATTCTGTCTACCTTACTCTCTCTGGCTGAGCCCTAGGACTAGATACAAATTCTCAGGACTTTGAGAAATCTGGGTTTTAAGGAAATATTTTGAAGATGATCTGAAAGAGCTTCATTTAGGGCAGATTTGGAATGAAAGCAAGGTACAGAGACCTGCTGGGAGGTATTAAGATTTCCCTTTAATTATTGCTTCCAATGGCCCATGTCCATACTTAGATCTTGAAAAGAATGAGGGAGAGTTGACATTTTGAGTATCCTCTTTTTCTTTTTTTTTTAATATTTTAAAAAATTGAGAGGAAGGGAGAGAGGGAGAGAAGAACTTGGATGTAAGAGTGAAACACCCATCTAATGCATATAATACAACCAGGACATGCTTGGAACACAGTGGATACCAAATAAATAGTAACTGCTATTAGTTAATGCAGGGCAAAGAAGTAATATAACTTAAACACATTAGAACCTATTCCAGTGGTGTTACCATTTCTTCAGACATGCTTTTGATGTTACTTTGTACTTAGTGGCAAATTTTTGTCTTTTAAGGGTGAACTTGATTTTTGAAAATCACCAAAAAGCAGAGTCAGATGTAGGTACGAATATTTTTGTTATTGTCGGTGCGACCTCAGAAATGAGATGTGACCATCATATAATAATATTTATGGATCTGTCTGATAAACTGAGTTTGGAGCCAGTTCCAATAGAGACATTCCCAGTTTTTTTGAGCAATGAGACTATTGTTGGAGATATGTTACTTACACAGATGTACCTACTATACATATTTTTAAAATCACTCATTTTAGTCTGTACTACTAATTGCTAGAATAAATGACATAACCTATAAATGCTTTGGTAGACCAAAGAAAGAGAGGATCAGAATAGAGTGGATTGCTTTGGGAAAGCCTTGAGAAGATGGAACTTGAGTCAAACCTTAAAGAATAGGTAGGATTTGGTAGTAAGGGAAGAGGGATGGCAATTCTGAGTATTGTGGGGGAGTCACAAGAGCAAAGCATATATAATTCAGTTTATTCAGCAAGAGTTGATTGAGTACCTACCATATTCTGTACATTTGGCTGTGGTTGGGAACTTAGGTGAATGGACACTGCCTTGACTTTAATGAATATACAGTATACTGGGGAAGGGGCACATCTAATGAATAATTATAATAAAATATAGTAGAGTGGTTGAGAGATACAGAGATAACAGTGGAAGTGCAGAAGAGGGATACCTAACCCAGCCTAGGAATCAAGAAAGGAAGAAGAGAATGTGAGATCAGGCTGACTGATGTGGTGGGTTACTGTGTAAGAAAGGAAGATAATGGCGGGAAACCCAGTTGGGGTGGAAGCTAAGGATTTGAAACTGTATGATGTAGGAAATGCAAAGCCCTTGAAAAAGTTTGAGCAAGTAATTTGGGGAGATTAGTCAGTTGATGGTGCACAGAATGGATTGGCAGGTTAAGAGATGAGAAGCAAGAAGAACATTTGGGAGGCTTTTTGCAGTAGAACAGGCTAAGTATGAGAAAGCCCTAAATTAGAATTGTCGAGGAAGACTTGGAAAAGCAGGAAAAAAAATCATTAAGAATAGGTAGAGTTCTTGACTGACTTGTCGTGGGAAATGAAAGTCACATTTATTCTGAACTTTGGTATCTGGAAGAAGGGTGATACTGTTAAAGCAATAGGGATGAGAGAAGGGTAAATATGAAATTTAACATGGTGCTCAGAGGCTCACAGGGCCTCTACATCTAAACCTAACTGCTTTGGATTTTAATTGCAGCTCCTCCACCCCCACCACCCATGATCCGAAATGGTGCCAGGGATGCTCCCCCTCCCCCACCACCGTACCGACATGGGTCAGAACCTCTGAGCAGGGGAAAGCCCCCACCTCCGCCTTCAAGGACGCCAGCTGGGCCACCACCTCCTCCTCCGCCACCCTTGAGGAATGGCCACAGAGATTCTATTGCCACTGTTCGATCTTTCTTGGGTGAGTAGCTAGCTGTTCTGGTCTCATAGTTCCTGTGGTAATTTAGTAATTCCAGTGACCGTTGTAGAATGGGAATGGTCACTTGGTATCTGTTACTCACAGCAGTTCTTGGCCCTAGCTGTTGCCATCCCTTTCCTTATGCAAATTCTAAGCATGGTTGCTTTGGGATAGATTGAAGTAAAATCAGCAGGTGTCATGCTAATTCTAAAGCCATTCTCTTGCTCCCTGAGGATCATTAGCTGTGGTTACCTTTAAGTCAGAGACTTGATCCTCTTCAGGATTATTCAGACAGCAAGTATGTACTCTCCTAGGAAGGAGAACTCCTTTCTGGCCCTTTAAAAACAAAACAAACTTTCTTTCCAACTTGGGCCTGGCATAATGGCTCCTACAAGGAAGGGTGGCAAGAAGAAGAAGGGCCTTTCTGCTGTCAATGAGGTAGTGACCAGAGAATGCACCATCAACATTACAAGCACATCTATGGAGTGGGTTTCAAGAAGCATGCCCCTCAGGCACTCAAAGAGATACAAAAATTTGCCATGAAGGAGATGGGAACTCCGGATATACACAGTGACACCAGGCTCAACAAAACTGTCTGGGCCAAAGGAATAAGGAATATCCCATACCATAGTGAGGATGAAAATTCACCAGATGAGCTCTATACGTTGGTTACCTACATACCTGTCACCACTTTAAAAAATCCACAATTAACGTAGTTGAGAACTAACTGCTGATTGTTGAAGAAAGTTATAAAACTTACACACGAAAAAACACCCAACTATGTAGATAACATTTATCTAATAATCCAAAGCCACTAACTAGCTGTGTTACTTTGAGGAACTTGCTTTACTGCTCTAGGCNTAATCCAAAGCCACTAACTAGCTGTGTTACTCTGAGGAACTTGCTTTACTGCTCTAGGCCTCATTTCTCTTATCTGTGAAATGAGGAGGTTGACTAGATCAGCAGTGTGTCAGATTAATTTTTCCAAAGTTATCAATGAATCTTAGGCCCAACCTAAGAGATTTTTAACAAGTAAAAGTTTATTTAGAAAGTCACAGAGATAGAAAAGGTGAGCCAGTTGGGCTGCATGGGCTCAGGAAACATGTGACAGAGGTCAAAGAAGGGCCCTTGGAGCTTAGAAAAAAGAAAGGCAGAGAGACCACGCCTGGGGGAAGGAGAAGGGGAAATGTGAGGGCGAGAGAGGGCCAGAGAAAGAGGGAGAGAGAGAGAAAGGGGGAGAGAAAGAGAGAGGGAGAGAAAGTATGAGAGATAACATGCCCTGGGGAAAGAAGGGGGTGGGGAAAGGCGAGGGTGTACTCTAGAGAGAAAGAGCGCACTCTAAGAGATTCTACTTCATTAGGTCTGGGATGGAGTCCCAAGCAAAGATTATTGAGAAGGTATCATTAGAACCTCTGTTGAGAACTCCTGGGAAGATCTATACAATCCCTTTCAGACCTAACACTCTGGATTCTTTAATGGTTGACTCTTCTCTGCTCTTGCTCTAGTGTATTCTGATTAGGTGGACCAGGGTTTTTGCTTTGAAAATAAAGTCCTTTGGAATGCCATCAAGCCACACCCAAAGAGCATTTGAGCCTTCTTATAGAAGGGCCATGGAAAGTGGGAGCGGGGGCCATGAGATGGCTATCCCAACTGTGTTGCAGAGCTAAATGAGGGTAACTGGGGCCAAAAGGGAATTATCTGGTCACAGCTCTCACTAGTTGGTGACAAATATTCCCATTTTAGGTTACTTTCTACCAATTTGTGGATTTAGTTCAGTTGGTTTCCCATGGTGATAGTCTCTAAGATGACTATGTTAAAGAACTGTATTTCTTTCTCCTCCCATGCAAACAGCTGGGCTCCTTTCCTGTTACATGCCTGATTTTTGGTGGAGATATTTTTAAACCAATTCAAAGACTGATTCCTTAATGTGAAGAGCCTTTAAGCACATCTTCTGTGCATACGAGGCACCTAGTGATGCTATTGCTGTCCTCAGGAGCCTTAATTTTGTGGGCGAGGCAGGCCTGCATGTACATCAGCATTCACGGAGGCTAGTAAGGGGAGGACAAAAGAGGTGCAGAGGTGTGTGGGAACACAAGGAGGGGTCAGAAGGGTGATATGAATTAACATTCTTTCTTTTTTTGGTAGATGATTTTGAGTCAAAGTATTCTTTCCACCCAGTAGAAGACTTTCCTGCTCCAGAAGAATATAAACACTTTCAAAGAGTATATCCCAGCAAAACAAACCGAGGTGAGAATAGTCATGAAAGTTTTTTCATAATTTCATAGAAGATAGAATTGGCCTACATTTCTTAGGTTAAAATTTATTTCTCTTCATCTCCATTTTCTTTAAAAAACAAAAACAAAACCTCGTCCCCAAATTTTAAAGGTTAGCTTACAGAGCCGGTTTCTCACTTTAGGAATGTTTGGGTTATTCAGGGTCTGTGGGTGATCTTGTGTATGTGGTTTTTATTGTTAATTTTTTTCAGCTGCCCGTGGAGCCCCACCTCTGCCACCCATTCTCAGGTGAAGCCTGGCTTGGTCCTGTTTCTCAGGAAAAGGATGGACCCTCTCCTCTTCTCAGATGGTCCCTTCCACTCCCCTGAAGCCTGCATGAGAACTCCTATGTGTTTCTCCCGTGCACCCAACCTCTAGACTCCAAGCGTCCTCCCAGCTCACCTCCATCTATGCATCTTGTCTTCTGGACTTGGTGATTGGACTCTTTATATTGACAGTAGGGTCTCACACCCTGCATCCATCCCTCCTCTAGCAATCCCTGCTAGCCAGATGAGGGAGACGCTCCCATGTTGCCTGCTTTCCTCGTGGTGAAAGGTGCCTTGTTGTGATGAATTAACTCATTGTTAGGGCAGGGCGGAGAATGGTACTCCTACCTCCTCCTTCCCACTTTGGGGGAAGCTTGGCGGGTATATTATATTTCATCATTTAGGAGGCTGACATGGCCAGGACTGGGGAGGGGTGGGGACATTTTTAGTGAAACAGGAAAGGAATTTGCAGAGAAGTGATCTGTTTTAAAGGTCAAGTTTGGAGAAAGGGCAAAGGAATGGGTCTGCTTTATTTTTAGGGGTATTTTGGTTTTGCTCCTACCCCACCCCATACCCTCACTCCAGGGATAAGTTGAATATAAACACTAAATACTAATCAGTTGAACTAAATATCTAATAAAAATAGAGGGTACGATAAACTGGGGAGACTTTTAGTGCTAGTCACTTCCTCTGCAGCAAAGGGACCAGGAGCCATCTGGGACTCCCTGCCCCATTTCCTTAGGGTGCTGAGGCTGAGGGATGTTTTTCCTCCCCCTCCACCTAGACCCTCAAGAGAAAAGTCACTTTTGTTCATTCCGTATTCACAAACCCCAAAAACTTCCAGTGGGAGATAAGAAGATAGGGCCAGGGTCTTGGCCTTAACCTTGACCTTGAGTCCACCTCAGTCTTTTCTGACTGGCCCTGAAGGACACTGGCCCTTTCAGTCCTGTCCAGAAACTACACCCCCTGATGGGTGCTCCATGATGACAAAGAAGGGAAGGGCGAAGCTTGTTGTAGAGATCACAGCCCACTAACTGAAAAACTCTTCCTATTCTTTTCTCCACCACCCTTGCCTTTCCATGACTGCAGGGGTGAACAGCGGAGTAGAGAAGGGTGAGGAAGCTTATCGATGTTGTCAGAGATTCCTCTGTGCCAAGAAGCACAAAGACTTTGGTGAGACGTGTCTCACCCCAGTTATCATCTTTGGCAGCCAGCAATATGTTGTTTCTTTGTCTTCCAGGTCCTAGTTAAAGAACACAGGAAAAATGGAGGTTCCCAATCTAGACAGGAGCTAAGCTTGGATGATGGGACAGGGACTTTCCCTTTGACAGCAGAATAGAGCCCCTGGGCTCCACACACAGGTGGTTTGACCTGTTATTGCCAAGTGCAGAGTCTACTCAAAGCTTGGAGTAAGAGCAGGGAGGCCATGGTGATTCCTCAAAATGGTTAGGGAATGTCAAAAAATTTTACCAGATACATCACAGGCTTGAACTACCTTAGGGACCTTTCCAGTCTGTTGGATCATAGACTAAGGATCTGTGCAAGGTGCTGGATGAGACCCAAGTCTTCCCAATGATAGAAGAGAGAGGAGAGGGTTCAACTTGGGTTATTTGTATGAGATCTGCTATGCTTTGTCATCTCCTGGACCACATTGACTCTCGGGACAAACTGATTAGGTCTGTCATCAAACTTTTTCTAATCATTATCACTCTTATTTTCAAACCTATTAGTAGTTATCTCCCAGCAATATTCCTGGCATCCTGAAGTGAATAGAGCCAAGAGAGGGCACGCTTGTGGAGGGAAAAGGAGAGAGTACAAGAGTAGATCCTGCAGGAGAGTTCCAGGGTAGATGCTGACCAGTTACTTAACTTGGACTGTGAAGTCTTCCCATTTATTTTTGAAATGGGAGTTGATGCCTTTTGTACAATGTTATCAAAATGTATTTTTTTCCCTTTCCTCAAACATAGAGCATCAAAATAAGTATCACAAGTAAAAGCCAAACCCCAGCTTTTCATTGGGGCTGATATCTTCCTCCCCTATGACCAGCTACCCCTCATATTCCCCAGCATTTGGACTGTGTCACATGGGTATTGATGTATATTCATTTTCTTGGCCTCATGAAAAAAGGCCTGGGCCTAGATCTAGTCAGATGCATTTTCTTTAGCGCATGTTGGTGACACAGTACTTATTTAAATGTCTTTGCCTTATACATTATTTGGTCCTTCTGTTAATAACAGATTTATTATCATGTATATTTACTATTGAAGAATGGGAATGTGATCTATTTTGTATGTTGTAAAAAGCTTGTAATATAGATTGAAGGTGGGCTGGCTGCAAGAGCACTAAAACTTCTCACCTTTTAAACTGTTCTTTTTATCTGCTTATGGGAATGTCGTCTCTTCAGTGAAAGATTGGGTGGTCTCATGTTGAGGCTATTGCCCAGTACCGTTAGCCCCCTTATCCCCTCCCAGAAGAAGAAGACATTGCCCAACTATAAGCATCAGGAAGCTGTGTTAAAAGCCCTTGTGTGGGTTTGGTTTTATGATGTTTTTCTCTAGTGGGGAAAACTTAATACTGTAGTTGTTTCTTACCGCCCTTTCTGGGAAGCAGGGCAGTGGCCTCCAGGTTTTCAAATGAGCTAGATGCCCCTCTTCCCCCCCTTCTCTGGTTACCAAACCTGGATCAAAGAACTTTGATATTTCAGGTGTGGTTTTCTCTATTGTGGGGATTTCCTCCAACAACAGAGCCCTATCATTTTCACAGCCTGGGTCCACAGAGAGAGCGTCTAGGGCTACCCCACCCAGTGGATGTGAAGCTGCTGTCTCCAGAAATTCATCCCAGCCCTCCCAGCTGGCTATTGCACTGGGGGCACTCCTCACCCCACAGCTTCCCAACTTGAAACCCAGATTTACCTCCAGGGAGAGGTGAGAAAAAATTGTAAATAGACTTGCTACAGAGCAACTCAGGTTGGGGTGTGTTTTAATTCTCCTGATCACTTGAAATAATCTGTAGGCTGAATGCTTATGGGAGTGGGGAGAAGTGTGACTCCAGGGTCTTTCTGAAGCTCGGGGGGTGGAGTATAGGGCATCTGAGGCCCTTTGATGGCACTACACTGAGCTGTCTGTCCTTCTGGAAACCCAACCTACAATCAACTGCAAATCAAATTCTTCACATTCCAGTTGTAGTTTCTTTCCCTATTAAATCTCAGTTCCTGACTATGTAGTTAGGGTAGCTTTATTTAAGCCACCCTAACTTAGGGAATAGAAGGCATTACAACTCTGCCTTCAAGATTCATCAAAATGAAACAAAACTACAACCACCTTCAAAATGTATACAAAAAGAAGAATAATTGTTTAACCGAAGGAAGGGTTTGGTTCCATTCAACTCCACGTTCATTGTGCCTTTACTTGTGTTAGATTTCTGTGCTTTCTTCCTCTCTCCCTCTTTGAAGCAATTAAAATCTTCCTTGATAACTTCTGTTTCCTTTTTCTACTCTTGTTTCTAATATCTTAGTGGGTTCCCTAATTGTCTTAAATCTCATTTTACTGATGCTGCGCAGAGGGGCCAAGCCTACTTTTCTCATATCTGTCTTTCCTTATTTCCCAAGACGACGACCATGGAAGTCATAGTCAACACTGAATAAAAGACTAGAATGACATGTATGAAGAGTGTGTGTATGTATGTGTCCATCTTTGTCTGCATGTGGATCAGTTCCTTTTCTTTAAAAAAAATAAATTATGATTTATTTTGGAGTTATACTCTGATTACAGTGCTCCCTCTCCCAGTTAGCATTGATTTTTTTCCATCCCCCTCTGAGATGTATAATCTGGTCTCAGGTTGGATTCTTTGGTACATTTGTTTCTCCTAGATGCCATGCGGTTTAATTAAATCTTGCTTAAAAACAAAACAAAAAATTGAAAACTGTACTCTTGTCTGTATACCGCCTCCTGTGGTAGCGTAGAGAGAGGAGAAAACCTGTTTCCTTGTGTCCCAGGTTGTGTAGTGTTTTGACTCCAGGTCCTCTGAGGAAGTAGATACACTGACTTGGGCAGAAGCATCTGCAGCTTGTTAAGGGGTTTTCTTTCCTCCCCTCCTGCTATATTTTGAAAATCACAGTTCTAGGTAGCCATGCTGACTGGATGATTCTGATAGAGTTGGTCATTATTTATGTTTGCCGCCAACTCCCCTTTGCTTATGATTTCAGGAAACCCAGAACACCTTCTGGCCTTGTGTCCTTTCTTTATATCCTTTATGATTCTTTCTGCCTGTGTTACACAGCAGATTCTCACACTGAACTTGGAAGAAAAGGTGGGGGCAGAGCATGTAGACTGTGTGTGTCTGTTTTTATGTGGGTGTTGGCTGTTTTTCCTCACTGCTTTTTAAGTTGAAATCTTAGCTGGCTTTCTTGAACTTTGACTTTAGGTGTAAAAATTAAACCAGACAGTCTCTGCTTACTGTGGTCAGCTGACATCACACTAAGACTTATTGAGCTTAACTTGTACTTTCACCACTAGCAAAGGTCTTGAAATTGTTTCCCATACTGATTCCATAATGGGTGTGTGAATGAATCACTCTCACATAATTTAGATATCAAAACCTATGAGGGTGAGGGCGGGGGAGGGCTCCTTTTATTTTCATCCATACTTGCCAAATTGGCCTCATTCCTGATTATTTGACCCATCATTGTTGTTAATATGATTAATAAACTACCTATTTATTGATTTAATTGTTCCTCCTGTGACTTTCAATAGCCCTCAGATGGAGCTTGCCTAAATGATCCTCAATTCCTAATGCTATATGCTTTCTCCATCCTATTGGGATGGTATTGCTAATTGTGTGTGTGTGTGTGTGTGTGTGTGTACTTGTACAACAGGATGCCAGACAGGTTGTTCCAGTGTGATTTGATTCCTTCCCTCATGGTACTGTGTATGAATTAGCAATTGATAAGGACAGTAGTTTGCCCAATCTAATTATTACTGGGACACTGCTGCTCACTGTGAATGTGCCTCTTAAGTATTTCCTGGCCCAACCCAGCCACAAACCGTGCAACTCACTGCAAAGACAGCTGCTTGTTTCTGATTTCCAATACTCTGCAGAGGTAAGAGAACTAAAATGTCAATGTTGGGATCCTAACCACCCCAGAAGATAACTGTGGGGGAAAATGCTTTGCCTCTTGTCATCGCTGGAGCCCACTCTGGATTGTTTTTACATGTAATTGAATTTATTCTCCACTTCTAGGTTTAGGTGTGTGAGATTTAAAGGACTGTATGGTATGTGTCCACAAAAAGTGGTCATGAAAGCTTGGTCAGGCATGGCTCAGCAGTTCTGCATCAACCTGGGATCCAGGAGATTGTTCATGAAAAAGGTCGATACCCACTTAGCAGGAATGTCCTTTCCATTCAGCAAGCATTTATTGCATTCTTTACTCTGTGTCAGGCATCTGCAATATGAAGATAAATAGGACATGTCCTTTGCCTCCAAGGAGCTCAGGGTCTAGTAAAGACTTCAGGACAGCCACCAGGAGAAACCTGGGCAGTGTATTAAAAGGCTTTATGGTAATTAGCCAGGGAAGGAGGATAGTGAGTATTCCAGACAGAGGAAATAGCAAGGACAGAGGCACAGAAGCAAGAAACAGTCTGGTGGTATGTGCATCATATTATAATATTGGAAAGGGAAAGCTTCAATAGGTAATCTTTTAGAGACCTTTCAATCCTGACATTCTGTGATTCTCTGCCTGCTTCCACAGTGGTCATTCACTCCTATAGGCCTTTTTTGGACCAGTGCTGTACTTCCTGGTGAGTGTTTTTATAGGCTCCAATATGCACCTTAAATACTCATAGCTTCCTCTGCTCCCTCTCTCTCACTGTAACTGAGGGAGGTTGTTCACCACCATACTTTAAGGAATGGCTGGGCACGTTATCATTTCAAGTTACAAAGGACAATTGTTAGGTGCCCAGTTATAAAGATAAATATGAACAGTGAAGTTTGCTTCCTAGGTTCTATTACCCTATTAAGATACCATCTAGTCAAAAGC